TCCTGAGGCCTCCCCAGCCATGCTGAACTATGAGTCAATTGACTGTCTTTTCTTTATTGACTGTCTTTTCTTTATACTTACCCAGTCTCAAGAAGGTCTTTACAGTAATATGAAAATGGACTAATGAGACAGCCAGAACCTGGTGGTGTCACTGTTGTCTCCCCAGTGCCTAGAACAGGTGCTGATATGGTTTGGATGTGTGTCCCCACCCAAATCTCACATGCAGTGGTAATCTCTAATGTTGGAGGTGGGGCCTGGTGGGAAGTGACTGGATCATGGCCACGTGTTTCTCATGAATGGCAACATCCCTCTTGCTACTGACCTCACCATAGAGTGTGTGAGTTCCTGTGAGATCTGGTTGTTTGCAAGTGTTGTAAGAGAGCACCTCCTTTCTCTGTCTCCTTTTGCCATGTGGAATGCCTGCTCCCCCTTTGCCTTCCACCATGAGTAAAAAGCTGCTTGAGGCCTCCCCAGAAGCAGATGCCTCCATGCTTCCTGTACAGCCTGCAGAACTGAGAGCCAATTAAACCTCTTATAAATTACCCAGTCTCAGCTATTTCTTTATAGCAATGTGAGAATGGCCTAATCCAGGTGCTCAAGAAAAACAGAACAATGGAATTCTCGCATTCCTTTAACGTATTTATTGAGCATCTACTATGTATCAGGCACTGTTCTCAGCACTGAGGCAAAGGAATGGATGAATAAATGCACAGCAAGTGAAAATCAACAGGCTTTTCTTTCCAGCCCAGCACATGAACTTGGTGACGTCTGTCTGCTCCAAGGCCTTGTTTCCATATGCTCAGACTTTCTACTTTGTCTCAAGTATCTGAACTTGGTCCTTGACTTATAATCCCCTTAATTAATATAACAAAAGAGACAGAAGCAAATCTTGTAGTAGACTGGGGTTAATGTTTTAATGATAACCTACATTCACACTGCATTTCTAAGATTTACATCCAAAGAGCATATTGTATTTACATGCACCGGTCAGTCCAAGATAACAAATTCAAACCATGGCTGTGTTAAGACGATGGTTTGTTCCAAATTAAATTAAATAGATAATACTCTTACCAACCCCCTTGGACATGTACAATAACAACCCTCTTCCTCCCCTCAAGGAATATAAAATTGCATTGATAACTGCACTGATGAGCAACAATGACATGTGAAACATTTAAAACCTGAGAGAGAAACCCAAATATGTTTAAGCACTCACATGTCTACACTCAAATTCCCATGTGAACTGTACGGTAACACAGATTGCTCAGTGGTCAACAGCGTATGACCTAGCTGGCTCTGATAGGGACTGACGCCGGCTGCCGGCTTTTGACGGAAGCACTATTCTTGCCGAGGGCAGAGGGAGTTACATCCCCCCAGCCTGCTTGACTCATACACCACAGACAATCAGGGACTTTTGTTGTTGTTTTGTTTTTGCTTTTTTTTTTTTTTTTT